CCGTGTTGCCTTGCCCGTTTCATCAGATGGTGACGTGAGTAACTCAACACCCGTCCAAAGACTGACTACATGGCACTCTACACCCTGTCTTGTCTAATAAAGTAAAGGTGTGGGGGGTGGATGGAAGCAGCTGCTCAGATTACTGCGTTCATTTGTAGTGAGTGGACGGGCGTGAGTCAAGTTCAGCAGCCAAAGTTGTGCGTCAGCCCTAATTGCACAAGACAAAGCTAGAAGCCCAAGTGGGATGCTTTGTACGCAGTAGACTTGCACGTGCTTATTTTGGAGTTTGTACGAGGATTAGCTGTGGTGAGCACCAACTTTGTGTCGACTTTGCCTTTGACTTGATTGGGAATACTTGTCCCCTTCTTATTTGCTTTGCCTATCTCAAGTCAGGTGGGACGCTTCAAGTGTGATGGAGACAAATCATCTTGCATTGCATTTTGCTTCAGTGCAGTTGCAGACAACGTAGGCAGCGCCTTACGATGAAGGTTTCATTCAGTAATTGTGTTGCACCTCTGCACGTTGCTGTTGTGAATGCTGTGCTATCAGGAATTGGCGAGGTTGCACCTGATGAGGTAGGTGACGGCCTTACCTCGTCAGCTGTTGCTGCCACTGAGGCCTCGCGACATGACGGGGTACGGGGTGGCGGGGAGGGCGAAGCGTCTAACGGGACGTGATGGTTAACTATCAGTGAAATTGGAAATGATATAAAGCAGAGTGGTGAGGAGGTTCGACTCCTCCATCTCCCACATCTCTTCCCCTATTTACATGTTTTCGCCTTTGCAGCACACCATTAAGAGGCAGTAGTGCCTGCTGAACCTCACCATCTGTGCGGGCGACAGTAGCGTTTGCATCGTTGACATGCAGCCATGACTGAAGGCGCTGGTCAACCGTAGTGCAGGAGTTGTCTAAAAATCAGTAAATTAAACAACTCGACACCAACGTCCTCAGCGAGGTCCAGGTGTTGCGAGCTGCTCCTTCTACGTAGTACAGCGCAATCCCACTACGCGAAGTTGCTGTAGCGACAATGGATGGATATTGTTGTTCTAGGCTCTCACTGTCGGATAACAAAATAATGCAGGACAACGTGTAGGCGCTGGCCACGCACCGCATGCGATGCACGAGGTGCTCCAACAATGGCGAGGATGGTGGTTGAGGCGCAGTTCACTCATTTCACAGCATTGTGCAGAGTAACAGAGTGTCAGGAAGTTTTGACAGCAGCACTGCTTGCAGAATAGATGTGGCGGTGCTGCTGACGAGCGATTTGGAGTTGTGTTGGTGATAATGTTAGAGAGTGAATGCTGAGACGGAATGGCAGCAACGGTGTTTGTTTAGTCAGTAGCAGGTGGGAAGCAGGTGTGGACCGACTATCCTTGTGCGACCGTTCATAAATGTGTCGACAATAAGCGTAGCTAAGCAAGAATTGGGTGTCGTACACAAGGTTTGGGCATCTCTAGGAAGTGTGCGGTGATAATTGCAATCCTGTGAATCTCATCATCATTCCTATGCTGCATTCACTGTGTCATTTCATTGATAGTCGTAAAAACGCGCACACAAGTAGATGTAACGCAGGAATGAAGTGACATGCGTTTTCAGTGATGGACGTTCGTCAGAAAGGTCTGATACGCAGTGCGTTGTCCGTAATTTGTGGCTCCATGCAATGGAGAGTGGCGAGAGAGGTGCTGTTAGTGAAGTCAGATGGAGGGTTGAGGCGGGGGATGTACAAGCCCTCCATAATTGAGTCGCATTTTCAATAGCATGGTCAACATAATGCATAATTATGCACAAGACATTTGGCTTGACATGGACTTTTAGCTATGCTGAGAGGATGCGTCTTTCTGGTTCTTGTGGCCTACTGTTTGGGTATGCTCTCATCACTTCTCCTTCGTGTGTCTTCATTGCTAGCTAAATAAGCCTCCGTCCTCCATGGCCTACTGCACTCACTCGCAGGGGCTACAGCATTATGCAGGGTGGGAGACTGGTGGTTCTACCTGTTTTTCTAAGCTTTGATGTTAGAGTGGCGCGATACCTTGCTCATGTCACTAGTATAACTTAAATGGCTTTCAATATGTAGCATGAAATGACATATGGTGGAAGGGCTTTCACTACGTTGGGGTTTGCTTTCGTCAGATGATTTCAAGGCAAAAGCAACATGGATTGAGAATATTTGCATTTTCCATCATAAAACAACATTTATACGGACCATCAGCCAAAGTCTCAAAACCTTGTGCATTTTTAAGAAGCAGAATCGGATCCGCTGCTGTTGGGTTCTTGCGTTGTCGAGACACCCAGTGGACTATCACCGCTCTTGCACCTGCGTTTCCCCAATGTTGGCGTAAGTGCAAGTGCTTTCATCAATAGATGCGAATTGTCACCACAAACATTAGCGCGTTCCTTTGTGTCACCATTTTTGCTGCTGCCTCCACGTGCTTGTCATTGATGCCGCGTATTAGTCTGCCTCACGCCTGTGCGCATTTTTATTCTACTCTAGGCGATAGACGCGTTGATCCACAACTTCTTGATAGAGCTAAACGACATCAAGAACGGCAAGTGTTATGTTGGCGTGGAAGAATGGGAATGCCCTTGCTCTGTGAGTGAAGGTGAGCGGAGGTATGGAAAGCTTTGATTGCACGCTCAATCCTTGTTAAGTACCCATTTCGCATGGAAAGAGGGGAGAGTGTTTTGGGTGGGGTGAAGTGTGAGACATTAAATTGCCGCAGATCGCATTAATTACTGGAGTGCTTTAAATTGAACTGCATTGTAGGAGCCACCACAAAGGCAGAATAGACGTGTAAGGCGACTCTGAGTTTAGGGGACCAAATTTTGCTTTAGCTATGAAATGTACTGCTGTCCATTAAGGCGCTGCCAACATCACTCTCAACGACGTGTCGAAACAGAAGGAATTGCGAATACTAAACAAGGGTTCGACGTTTACAAAAATATTCTTTGCAGCGAGATGTGAGTTCCAGAAGCCAGAGCAAGGTGGGTGGTTGGGGATGGGAAGAATGCGTGGTTTTGCATGTTCATGACTGTTCTAATGAGCTTATTGGAGTGGTCACTGCAGTTCATGTGGCTGATGCGACATCTCCCCCTCGCCATTACTTGAGCGTTGAGAAGAAGCAGGGTCAAGAGGCAGCATGACTTGTTGCTTTGCGCCCAAGTGAGATTGGTTTGAAGACGTCCTTTCCGCTGTTTCGGTTCCGACGAGGACACTCACATGTTCAAATGGAATTCGCCAACGGCAAACATTTGGTATGCAACCTGGGCATGCCTTTAGACTGATCGACTTTAGCCTAAATTTCTCCCCCCACCGTAGGTTTCCCTTCTTGTGGACAGTGAGGCAGCGTGCCATTGGAAGGGTATCAGGATTAGCCGCTCCTATTTCCCTTTCTACCGTGAGTGCATGAAGGATTCGCGTACCGCATTTGCCCACCCATTATTATCATTATTATTATTACTTAGCTTGTCACTCCTCTCTTCCTACAACCGTCGAAGAGAATTTGTTGGGAGATGGCCAGGAGGATCTGCGAAGATTTACTCTGAAGCACACAAGAAGAGGGACGGCTAAATACAACTTCTTTCTATGAGTTGGGAAGAGTAGGTCGCTAATTGTCACTGTGGATTGGACACAAGAAGGTGAGTGGCTATCGAAACTGATGACGGTGTACATTTCTCCTTCCTTCCTTCCAAGTCGTCGATGCGAAATGAAGCGTGAGTCTGCAGAAACAAACTCTAGAGCCAGCTCCATCGAATTGACTGATCGTGTTGCTTTGACTTACGTGAGTCGCCTGAAGTCGCGCAATGCAATGTTAAGTTTCGTGATGGAAAAGTTCCGCGTTCGTATAAGACAACGTACAAATTGCACTTCACCATTCTCCAACGAGCGTGCGCACATCAGAGCACTCAACAATAGCTCAAGTTAACACAGTTTTAGCAAAGTTGTTTACAGGGAGCATTGTGCAGCCACTTACTGGGCGGCAAGTGGAAACTAACTCTTCCTTTCAGTGTTTCGTCCAGCCACATCCTCTTCCAGTGAGTCGACGAACCAAACCAACCACTTTACGCTGGACTTCTAGGTTGAGCGACATTGTCGTCGGACAGCTGCACAATGTTGGCAAAGCCTCATGCAGAATTTGTGAGTGGGTGGAGTGATTTTACCCACAACTCAGTGGGACTGAACGAGGCTAGTGGGATTGGAGTGGCTGCCAAGTGACTTTGCATTCAAATTGTGCTAACGAAAACTGGTTAGAGCAAAGGAAGTAGTTGGTAGGAAGGAGGACTGACGCGCACCTTCGAGTGACTCATGTTCTCTGCTGTGGTGAGTGAAGGAAACTTCAACTGCCACGCACACGGCCATGAAAATGTGCTCAAGTAGGATAAAGTAAAACAAAACCATTTTATGATAATTGCATAAGGCATAAGCCAATGGTGATGCGGAAGTTGATTGGCTGCAGTCTCTGCAGCTGCAGATTAGAATTCATCACTTCATTATGCCACCCTTAGTAGTAGTGGTAGTAGTAGTAGTTGTTGCGATCACCATGCTGCACACTTCAGGGAAGTGAAATGCACCGCCTTTCACTTGTACAACCTCAGTGTTTGGCAGTGCACTGTGAGACAATGTGAAGCAATGGAGTGAGGAGGAGACGACCGCACAGTGTTAGCTGGTGGCATTCTCAAAGGACGATTTATGCAAGCACATTATCTTCAGCGAAGCTTCATCCAAGCGGGTGCCAATAGTGGAGTGCCACTCATTCACGTCACTGATTTTGAGTATCGAGGCGACGACAATCTCTTTCTGTGGCTGCACAACTGCACACCAGTGTAAATGGGGCCGGCAACATGCCAGCACACTCCACCACAAGCAGTGCCGAGACCGGAGGGGCTGCAAATCCTGGTTGCCCATACTTTGTCCTCGAAGAGAGATGACAGCCTTGAGGGAGACCGAGGTGCAGCCAATTGATGCAGCCACAGCATCATGCACTGCGAATGAGGAGTTTGAGGTGAAGTCGTGTGAACCATTGAGAAAAGGACGCGTTTCAATGGCTAAGCTGAGAATCTGATGTTGTGCATGTATTTTCACTGGTTATGGCAGCAACTCTCAGTGTATGGTATGCTTGGCCGAAGTGTCGGGAGTAGCTGTGTGATAGCATGAGTTATTGCATCTTGCCGAGCACCTCTCGTTTCATCTCTTATAGTTTTAGTTGTGGCAATGATTCCTTCCATTTCACCCATTCTGGCGACACAAAGCTTCTATGACTGAAAGCTGGAAAGGCGTGTTCTTATTCATCAAAATAAAGCCAAACGGTGGACTTTGACCTGACACAGAGAGCAGGTCGGTAAGATGCGTCAGTGTGTGCCCACTCAAGTGACCGCAAGTAGAGTTTGTGACCGAACGTCTAGTCTCAGGTGTGCCAACAATTACATCGCAATCAGTACTGAGTGAAAATGAGGAGGCAGTTGATTCAGGTGTCATGGAAGTTGTTTGTCGACACTGATGAACTTGTACTGGCATCAGTCGCGGGGCAGTAACTTCTATGCTGATCGTGCGAGTTTGGACAGTGGTCTGACGATAGGGATT